GTACAGTAGGAGTACAGTACAGTGCTAACACAGAATACACTTTCGGTGCTACCCAGCCTTCCCATTTTCTAGTGCGAGCAAGTCAGGGTTGGGTAGGTTATGCACTGACCGATATACTATTTGTATAAAGTATGATATACCATAGATGAGGATGGAGTGAAGCGTGGGGGATCAGGTAAACTTGACTGGGATCGTGCAGTACTCGTACATCCATTACACGATGGCACATCTTGCTAAAAAGGCAGTCCCTCAAGGCAGGGCCATAATAAGTCTTCCGTCACGGAATGCATCTCCCCCACAAATAACAAAAATAAAAAACCACTTGACAATCCTCGACAACATTTATCCGAAATAGCAACAACAACAGCCCCCCCCCTCGGGAAAAAAAAAATGGCAGCAGAAATATCTCGGCGGCGGGAACAACCCAAATCCGTAACTCACCCATTGAAAAATCCTCCGGTACCTACCCGCTCCGATCCCATCGTATCCATCCATCCATCCATCCATCCTTCGCACCGGGCAGCGCAAGCAGCGCAAGCACGGACACTTGTCCCCGACCTTTGCGGGTAGCTACCTACCGACAGGAAATATCCAAGGGACCGGCAAAAGCAGTCCACCCGCACACCAAACCCCCACTTTCCATCCACATTTCCATCTCCACGGGAATAATTGGGGGAGAGGGTCAACGGGCCACGCTAAAAGTAAAAGAATTCGCACATTTCACTTTACTTACTCCGACACAAGTTAATATATACAGTATGGTTATGGTATGGTATGGTAGCAATCGGTCACCGGGAGAAAATGACAGCCACTTTCTCGCACATTGGTGTGCTAGTTATGGCACGGGGCCAGGCTTTATTGGTGGGATGGACTTGGGTGAGAAGCCCAATTCTCTTGGCCACGGGGGACACCGGAGTTGCGCGCACTTTTCGGGGTATTTGATCAATGAGTTGGTGGATAAAATATGTCGTGGTTGCTGGTGGCGTGGTGGTTTACGTACTAGTACTCTTGCTGTTCGAGTTGGTCCGAGTTGCGGTGTCTGGCCAGCTGGACTAGATGAGGAATGGGGCATTGGGTATATATGTGGCTGGGTGGTTGGTCGAGGTCAGCTTTGTAGGGGAATCCTGTGGAAATGCTGATGAAGCTCATGGGAAAACTCCCTCCCCCCTTCCATCACATCTACGGAGAGGGAGAGTAAAAGAGTAAACCACAACCCTATAATCTACAGGCTACATCGGCCCGAGGTTTTTTAGATGGGTGGGTGTTCACAAGTTCACGCTGGGTCACTCACATATAACATCTGATTCTCGCGAGGGAACACGCTTGCTGCAATATCACACCACGAACCGGACGAGGGGGACGAATGGGGGGAGACCCTCCTCCCCCCATCTACTGTCGGTCAACCATCACGGCATTTCACGGGCTAATCAATCGCACAAGCCCGGACACGCTCTCCCATCTGATACACCCAATACAATACAATACAATACAGTACTCTCTCACTCAGGGCAGGGGGGTGGAGCATTGGAACACGCAGGAGGTTTAGCAGCGGAGCCACTCAAACCTCCCCATTGCTTAAAATACAGTAAGAGCGCTCAGGCCACAGGTTGCTCCAATACCCTGCCCCAAGCACCGCAGCCCCCCCAAAAAAAACGTTTCTTTCCCCCTGGTTAAGTACCGGTACGGCATCATACCGGCATCCCACCACGACCTCAACGGAAAGAGGGTAAACGTGTCCACAACTCAAAAGAGAATCATCGGCTTGCCGCCCGTCCGGCCGGGGGGGGGGAGGGACTATCACACGGTATCATAACTGGTGTGCAATTGGTTTCACATGATTGTACGGGATCCGTTTCGTATCATTGTGCTAACTAGTACGTGCTGGCGTAGAACTCTCGTATCCAGCCGAAGGGGGGGGGTTAAGTTATATATCATTGGAAAGCTCTTCTTTACCTCAGCGTTGGAAAAACGGCTTGGCCGGCCTGGGATACCGTATGGTATACCTGATTATTAATCTATCTAAAACAGGATGTCCCCACACGGTGCAACGGGTCCACGTAAATTTATTCCATTGAAGCCCATACGAGTATACGAGTATGATACTTGGGGTTTCCCGTCACCCTTCAACTGGGGAAACTCGTACTTGTACGTGCTGATGGGAAGGCTTATGATATCATGGATTGGTCGGTTTGGAAATAGCTCCTGACAATCGGGCCGGCTAGT